ATTTATCATATTTCATATTTTATATTTTATATTTTGAAAAATATAAGTCTCAATCTACATCCGGAATTTGCTTGACAATTTGACTAATATGTATTCAATTTGCGACTCACCCTTTAAATTTAATGTGATGTGTTTTTGAAGCGATAAAATCGAGGAAATGCGTGATTTTTGGTTGGTTTTTAAATAAAACATACAAGAAAAGTTATTAGGGACTAAGAAGGCCAAGTTGTAGGCCGACAAGACCCTCTTAGATAAATATCCTATTGCTCTTGGCTAAAGTGTTGCCATCTACAAAAGTGATTTAGTGCGTGCATGTGTATGTGTGTGCTTTTGTGGGGTATCTTTTGATTTACTTCCGGTTAAGCAAACATTTGTGGCTTTGACTTGGAACTCCCTGAAGTTTAACAAACAGGACAGACTCGGAGTGTGTGTCTGTGTGTGTGTGTCTGTGTTTGTTAGCTAACAAAGTATAAAGCTGATGGGAATGCGTTATGTGTTTTGGGTGCTTGCTACCTTTAGGTAAATGAGTTTCGTATCGACACGCATACAAGGACACTTGCACACAAAAGCGCGCGCGCACGCTTTTCATTTTCCATTTCCCATTTCCCCATCTGAAGTGAACTTTAAATCAATAACAAAAAAAGGAAAAAAAAGAAAAAAGTACCGAAATGAAAATCTTGAAATATGTCACGCGGTGGTGCTCTGTGGTTTGCCAAGTGCTTTTGTCAACCACATGACAATGCTTCACAACAATACGGGAAGAACAACATAATAGCTGCAGCTGCCTCAGAAGTGCCCAGTGGATCTGGAGGAGAGGCGAGTTGTCGCCGGAGGAATGGAATATATATGAAGTCGATGGAGATTGGTTGCCGTTCGCAGGCCCAGACCTGGGCATACAACACCAACATGAGTGCCCAAGGTAAGGATATACCACAGTCACAGTTACCAGCTCGACTCAGCCAACTCACTCCGTGGCCGTGGTCCCAGTCGCTGTCCCAGTCCTAGTCCAGATTGTTGGCCAACTCGCGAACGCTTTTTACGCTTTCTTTTCTTTTTCTTTCTCTTTTCCATTCCTTCCTTTTTTTTTTACTTTTCGTGTTTTATTTGTTGTTAAAGTATCTGGGATTTGGCAGAGCTTGTTTGCTTTAGGGATTCATTCATTCCATGTATAGAAGGTCAATGTACAATGGCACAGATAAGTATTTTTTAGTGCAGACTAGGATAATATTAGCTGCATAAGATATAAATAAGTACAGCAGCATTTTTTTTTTTTTTTTTCATAGTTAAAACATATGTGTGACCACCAAAGGGACTAAATGGGATCCTCTTCTAAATTATTTTAATAATAATTTTTATTTCGACGTCAATCTCTAATATTATTATTTTTATTTTTTAAGTGTAGTAATCTCTATTTAATAATAAATAATTACCCTAACATATTGTAAATATCCACTAGTTTATATTAATATATTATACGTTTAGTTTTACAACTAATTTAGTTTTTTTTTTGCCCCGAGTGTTGGGTTTTTCTTGAGTTTTTGGGCAGTGGTGGGTCAGTGGGTCGTTCACACGAAGCGCCATTCATATTGTGACGGGAAGTGATTCATTTCACTTGGGCTCCGACTGCGGCACGGGCTGCCCATTGTTGTGGTGCAATGGAGAATGACTCGCTGGTTGGCCGAATGGCTGGCTGCCTGAATGGATACCTGGGTGGGTACCTGCGCCACAATTGTTGGATATTCTTTTTCGTGCTGGCTTATAAGTTATTTATTCGTACTTATTCTTGCTTATTTGAATATGCCGGTGTTTATTTACAGGTGAGCATTGGGCGAAGCAGCTGTTTGCGTTGGATATCAGGCGCAATTCTCTTAAACACAGACACCCACAAACACACACATACACACGCGTATCTTCAGATCCACTCGAGAAATATTCAAAGATACCGAAACGCTTTTGGTCGGCTCTATATTAGGCTTTAATTACTTTCTTTGTGTCGATGTCTTTGGGTTCTTAAAAATACTTTTCGACAATTTTAATTAACTTTTTATTTATGTAGACCACAAGATTTTTGAGGGAATTTCCCATTTCTCTTGTCTGATTTTGCTTACGCTAATTGATTTTACTCCAAAAGTGGGGCTTAGCTGACAGACCGATTTGGCAAAGTACCCAAGTACTGATCAAGCTGTGCGCCCAGAGCCCTCGAACTGGGGTCATTTATCACAGCTGAATTAATGTGGGCGACAGCAAGAGGAACGGGGGCACACAAATTCAAATATATTGTGCAAGTCTTTGTCCAGATTCGAATTAATTGAGTGCTAAAAATGGCAAAGACAAAGGGCGAGGCCAGATAAAAGGACGAGCAGAAGGACAGATGAAATCAAGCGAACATTTTTGCTTACCAACGACAGCAAATCGAACCGAAAGCGTAAACAAATCGAATGCCAACGAATCGAAACTAATTGGGCGCCTTGAAATATGTAAAGATAAAGCCGCTGTGGTCAGCGGACCGAAAGGTCGCGGCAGCCAAAGAGAACAAGTTGAAGAAATTTCGGTTTATGGCGACCATTTGATAAATCAAATTGAAAAGGGAACAGCGAGACTTGGGGCTGCCCATGAAATACAAGAATTACAGCACATGGCGTATGTGTTGCTCTCTATCTGTGTGTGTGGGAGTGTGTGCCGCTTGACCTTGCGAGTGCTGCGAACTGGATCGGGCAATCAGCTGCCAGTGCGGAAGTAGCAGTTCAATTATTCATCTACCCTTCAGCAGTTGTTATTTTTTTTTTGTTTGTGCTGCTTTGCATGATTATGACGGGGCCGCATGCAACATGGGGCACGGCATCTACGGCACGCACACAAGCATGCAGATTGCTGACCAACTGCAAATTGGCCATCTCCTTGGCCTCGGGCATTTACATTTTAAATTGCAGCAATAGGTATATTTGCATTTGCCAGCAAAATGGCCTCAAGGACGCGTTACAAATTTCTGGGTAACATTTTTTGTACACAATTTGAATTTAGTTTACATAACTCACACACACACTCACATGCACACACACACGCACAAATCCACAGTGCTGAACAAGACATTGAAACATTTTGAGGCAAATATTTCAGTGGCTTAGCACTATCGCATGTCTGATGACAACGAAAGCAGCACAAAGTCCTGCAGTGAGTCCTGTTTCTCACTGTGACAGGAAGGCACAAAGGACACCATGTATGTATATGACAAATGTATTAAAAAATATATATATTTAGTAT